TTAGGTAAGTTCAGGACCATTAAGTGACAAAACTAAAAACACTAAAAATAATTTTTTGCCTAAAAATTACATGATTTATTGGTAGGTATAATGGGTGTGTCAAGATTTACGAATGAAGCATCCGCTTAAATGAAAATTATTATATAACATTTTTTTTTACTTGCCATTTTAATATAAAGATCGTAAAATTATTTTTAAAATTGCCACCTCTTTAAAAATTTCAGAAATATTGAACTTAACCTAAAAACCACAGACTTATATTAGAGTCCAATATCAAACACAGCAAACTCCAATATTTTTCTTAGTTGAAATGATTGAGCAAAACTATTATTCCTTATATTATTGCGCATACGTATAACTTTAATAGCGTATTTTTTAGTTTAAAAAAATAATAACAAAATCGTACTTATTATTATTATTATACTATTCCAAATATGTAATACAAACAAAATTGCATGTCCCAACCCCATTAACTTTTTGTTTATAAAAGGGGGTAGAAAATGTTTTTTATTTATTTCTAACTTAACTTATCTCAACCGGTGGCCAAAATTTTTCTTCTCCCACAGTGGGAGTCCCACTAGTGGGCGAAATACTATTTCGCCCACGGTCTAAAGTTAGCTTTAAGTTAAAATTGGAAAAAACTGAGGTTAAAACTGCTTGACAGCTCATATATTACATAAAATATCAAATAAAATTGGCTTTAAATTCCTTGTGGTAGATGAATAAAATGTCGTGTGCGACTAATTGGTCAATGGAGTGTTACCTCGGGGAAGTTGAGTTTATGTTGAATAATTTAAAATTAAAATTATAATAAATTTTTTTTTTATTTATTTTTAAAAATATTTGAGTTAAAAAAGGGGGCAAGTGGATACAGGAGTTAAGTAATAATGTTGATATTTATTATTCGCCGGTGGGCGAAAGTTTACTTCTCTCACTAGAGGGTGAAATAGCATTTAGACAACTGGCTGAAGTTAGATTTAAATTGAAAATTGAATAAAAAGTGAGGTTAAAAATGCCTGACAGCTGTCAGATGTCGAATAAAATATCAAATAGAATTCCTTGAGGGGTGCCACAAGGTGCCTTTAACTACTTTATTAATGATATAGGTGACTGAATTCAAAATACCTACTTTTCGCAGATGATATAAAACTCTACAAAAAGGTTTTATCAGCTCGGCGATTTTTCGTTCGTTAAAAGAAATGAACCAGAGAATTTGTATCCAATTTTGCTTAAAAAATTAAATAAATTCTGTGAAATGTTAACAAAGGCCTATAGTGAGTCTGCTATAAGTAAAACAAGAGTTTACAAGTGGTATAAGAGTTTCCAAGATGGCCGTGAAGACGTTGAAGATGAAGAACGCCCCGAACGCACAAGCACATTAACAACCGATAAAAACATGGGTAAAGTGGAAGAAATAGTTATAAACCATCAGAGAAGTCGCTGATGATGTTGGTATATCGATTGGCTCATCCCATGAAATGTTTTCGAATGTTTTGAGTATGAAACGCGTGGCAGCAAAATTTGTTCTAAAATTGTTAAATTTTGAACAAAATTTTTGGCCAAAAACAATGATAATGATGCCCCAGCCTCCATATTCGCCAGACATGCCTCTGTCTGACTTTTTCCTATTCCCAAAAATAAAGAGAACCTTAAAGGGCCGTCGTTTTGCAAGCATAGATGACATTAAAAGCGCATCGCTGATAGAACTAAAGGCTATCCCAAAGATCGAGTTTTAGAAGTGTTTTGAGTATTGGAAGAAGAGCTGGCACATGTGCATAATATCCAATGGGGACTATTTTGAAGGCGACAACATTAATGTAGACGAATAAATAAATATTTGTTTCAAAAAACGAAAATTCCCGATATTTTCTGAACACACCTCGTACAAACTTTTGGAGTTTATAAAAAGAAATTCGCGTGATTTTGGCAGCATAAGCTGTGTCAAGGTCCTATACTCATCATTGGTACGATCTCAGCTTAAGTCTAGTAAGTGAACTCTCCGGAGTTGTTTGATAGTATTAATTTTAAAATACAACCACATCCCACAAGACAATTTAATATGTTCTGTATTAATGTTCATCCAAATAGATACTTGCATTACAAGCGTTCTTCTTGCGAATGAAGCAAATTTTGACTCGAACTACTCCTACTTCAACGCTTGCTCAGGTTTGTTTAGCTCTTAACCAATTATTTATTTATTAGGGTAACGTTATTAACAGTGTTATAAATAATACTAGTACATAACTTGTTGTAACTGGCTTTGTCGTTAATAAAGTTATATTAATTGCCTCTGACTCAAAAGCTCAGAATATCCATTGCAAAAAAGGACTCTTTTAAAATAAATTTGTTTACGATAATAAATAGACGAAAAATGTAAAATTTAAGTTAAGTAATCAAATGTTTTCAAATAAAAAATTTTACATGTGTCTTCTATACTTCATTACTGATGATAACCTTATGATTTCCATTTGTTTTTTAAAGTGTTGGTCCGTTTTCTACTTCAGTAGTTCTATATTATTTTGGTAACACTGTTAATAATTACCAAATAAAAAACGGGTCATATAATAAAAATGTTATAACATTGATCAACGGTTACAAGGTACCCCAGTAGTACAAAGAAAGATATTGGCTCAATATTCGTAATAATATTGGGCCAATATATCTTTCGTCAGATTTTTTCTAGCATGGTCCAATATTGAAACCCAACATTTGCCCGAAGTTGTTTGACATTATATAACCGATATTGGAAATCCGCATTGGCCTGAAGTTGTTTTACATTATATTTTAGGAAAGTTAAGGGAGAAATTGAAAGAAAAAAAGATTGCCACCCAGTACTTACTACGTAGTAGGATTTCTAAAAGTGATATGTCACGATCGTGTCGAAAAACGCACAATCCACACAACAAGGTCTGTTCGATCTCGTATTAAAAATACTAAAACACTGCACATCATACAATGGCGGCCATTTTAGTTGTTTACAATTCTTTTGCTATGGGTTTGTACAGATTAATAATCGTTTTAAACGTTGTGTTTTTTACAGAGAGACTTGCAAGCCTTAAAAGAGACCTCAAAGTGGTAAGAACAATAATTTTACTCCTCTTTTGTAAAAAATAAACCTTATTTTATCAGGGCTGTCAAATGTCAATATGAAAGTTAATTTGTGGGTTATAAAATAACCTTAAATTAACCTTCAAATTGACATTTGACAGCCCTTATAGAATAAGGTTTATTTTTTACAAAAGAGGAGTAAAATGCCTAAACCAAACCAATAGATGACTATCTTAAAGAGTATATAGTTTGGAGCCAAATGAAGCGCCCTGTCTGAACTTGGTTAAAAATTAAATTACGTGTTTACCGGCAACTGTTGCCAAAAAACGTCGAAACCTCAAAAAATCCGCGCCCTCTCTTGGCTTGGCTAAATATTATAATACTGTCCCGATATCCGACATAAGATAGTTATCTATTGGTTTGGTCTAGGGTAAAATGCAAGTCTCTCTGTAAGAAACACAACGTTTAAAACGATTATTAATCTGTACAAACCCAAAGCACAAGAATTGTAAACAACAAAAATGGCCGCCATTGTATGATGTGCAGTGTTGCAGTGATTTTTATTATTTTTACTACGAGATCGAACAGACCTTGTTGTGTGGATTGTGGACAAACGTTTGTTTTCAGGAAATGTTTATAGTAGGTACTTCGGGGCGTAGCAGCGGGGGGGGGCGGTTGACAATGCCGACCCAAATGATAGGGGGGAGAGGGGGGTTACTTGCAGGGGCGTGCTGGCTATATCAGACCGGCCCGGGAAATTCAGAAAAATTGGCCAACTACACACGAAAAATGGGGGGTGAACAAAACCAAGTTAAAAAATTTCAAACATTTATTAATAATTAATAACATAAAGTATAAATTAAATTCTTGAAAAACAAACAGGCAACAAACACAACCAGACAATATTTTGCACTTAAAATAAAAACTAATACAAATTATCATCGCTCAGGAAACTTATAAACAATATACAATCTCGAAAAAAGAAACAAAGCTGGCAGGCTGGCATGCATTGTATGTGTAAAATAATTATGATATTTATACATAACTCAATTAAAAAAAGTTTTTAATTGACCACGTGCTGCGGCATGCTGCCTACATAGCCCTCCGGCACACCGGCCCACTTGGCCCTCCGGACCACCGGCCCACCGGGATTTCTCCCGGTGTCCCGGCGGCCCAGCACGCCCCTGGTTACTTGATATAAAATGTACCCTCCAAATTCTTTGAAAAAATCTACCAATAAGACAAGTCTTGTTTATATACAAAAAAAAAACGGTACGGTCTATGTTATTCTTAAATTCGATGAACAGCTTAAATCGTTTGTATCATATGCTAAAATAATCAGCTTGAGCTTTATTGACGTAATAACGAATTTTATTGCTAATAAGACAAGAAATCGCATATTACCCTTGTTATTCTTACGGTAACATGCAGGAATGACCTTTATTATTTTACCCATTTGGTGCTAAACAATAAGGATGGTAGTCAGTTGCGCCACCCCCAACTTAAAACCGTTCCTGCGCCACTAGTATAGACATAACCTGGAAACAAACGTGTGTCGTTACATATCACCTTTAGAAATCCGAAAGCATCGTTGACTATAGTTAATGATATATTGGCGTAAAATAAAATGCCAATATAGGACCAACATGGATAAAAATGCAATGATATATTAAATTATTATTTTATGCCAATATTGGGCTAACATCGGCTAAATAAATCCATTATTGGCCCCAGATAAAATATAGGTACTGAAATATGCAAAGGATAAAAATTATTATAATTAATGATGAGATAATCCGAAGTTCTAATTGATGTAGCATTATGGCATTCGTGCGAAACGGCGATCGGATATCCTGAAAAAGTTTGGTCGTCCCCCCACGGCCATGGCGGCGCGGTAACAGAAGATCCGGTGGCAGAGCACACAGTGGCGAAGTCGGCGAGAGCAGAGAAGAGGAAAAGCAGAAGCAGGAGCAAAACAGCGAACGACATCGCCTCGACAACACCATCAATTGTTCGCATTGCCAAGCAACGTGATCATCACTCGCAACCTCGCAAAGTATCGCCCGCCGATCGCACAGTCAGTGCACGGACGCGTTTGCGAAAGCTGCTGCCCGCCTGTCAACCGTACATTTGCAGGATCCGAACTCAATTCTTGTTGTTCTCCTCTCGCAGGAAGAGTTACCCGTCTCTCTCTCGCTCTACTCTTGTGTTACGCGCTGCTTCTAGTGTCTAAAGTCTATTAGGAGGTGCCTAAAGGATATCATCCACCTGATACGCGGCGTCGACACTTCCACGCTCCACTTCACCTGTTGAAGGGTAAGTTTTATCCATGATTTTTGTTCTTCTATTTAACGGGTTTCCTGCTTCATTCATATAGCGCATGCTTTAAAAATACTTTTAAATTATATCGAAAGAACTAAGGTAATAAACATTTATTCAAATCTTTGTTAGTAATTTTAATAATACACAGGATGTTTAACTGGTCAATGTACACTTTTTAAAATGTCATTTAGAACTTATTTAACTTTTAAGATATTGACAAATTTTATACATCCTTGGAGTAATATATTCTGAAAGGCAAAAAATAAGAAGAAATAATAAAATATTAAACGAAATTGCTTAAATTTGAGGACTAAAATTAACGAAATTGGCTGATGTGCATCTTCCATATGCTTTTCAATTTGAAACAAAGAACCATATGGGAAATCATTTGGGACCAATTTAACTTGCCCAAAAACAAGTAAATAAATAAGTTTATAGAAAGCTCTTTTTAAAAATATATCGATGGTTATTTGACCTCAAACATCGTAAGCGACAAAACCTAAATTTTACAGGAGAGATGTTTTTTGTGTGGGAGCTTTATTTTTAAAGTTATTTATCTGAAAACTGGTGAGGAATTCAAATATTTAAGTAACATCGAATAGAATCCAAAATTTTCATTAAATTTTGTGGCATACGATATTTTATAAGAACATCTTTAGGAAAATGTAAAATTAGTCTTGTCGCTTAAGTTACATTTACGTTACTTTGTGGGATATAGATTTGATGATTACTTTCGTCAAAACATCTTTAGCGACATTTATTTTTTTACTTTTATCATTAAATAAAAAAAAATACAAAAAAATTAATTTATAAAATATCACCAACGATATTTTGCCAAACAATTGTTTCAAAAAATTTCATTTTCAAACACTAATGTTTGAAAATGAAATTTTTCATTAGCTTTCTTTAAAAAAAACGAACCATTATCTAACCCATGGAGCCTACACAAGGAGCCCGAACTTAAAAGGGAAAATCGACAAAACCAGCCCTCTAAATTGTACAAATTAAGTTTTTTCACCACCAGTGGCGCTGATTGTCGATGCTAGCGTTTCGGTATAAATTAAGCAATTGTTTCAGAATAAACGGAACACCATAGCCCTCTTATCTTAGGAAGATTCTTGTTTACAAGATGTTCGGACTTCTTGTGTAGGCTCCATGGTACCATGATCTAACCGTTATAAATTTAAGTCAAATTATTTGACTCTATAACAACATACAATTACTACAAAAACACTTTTAACGAACCACACTACGTAAAAACAATTATAATTAGGATAACTATTAATAATGCAATGGAAAAAAGGAATTAAAAGCTTTTGATCAAATATGTTTTAAAACTTGGTAGCAATCACCACGAATAAACTATTTAGAGCGGGAATAACGCCTTGATAGATCAAGGCGGGAGCACAATATTATCGTATGCGACACAATGTTAAATCGCAAACGCCATGTCTCAGAGTTGCTTACGATTATTTGTCGGGAACATATAGGCGCTTACGTTATAAATCGGTAACAAATTAAAAAGAAGAGGCGCTTACAAAAATAAAAATATTCAAACTGACCAATATAAGATTCCAAAATTGGGATAACTATTATGTTAACATGTGCAGCTTATCGTAACTGACACTTTGATACAATAAAAAGTAATTCAACAAAATTGTCGCTTACGATGTTTTGTCAAATAACCATCGATATAACCAATGGGTGTAACAAGTATCCTTAGTAAGCATAAGATGTAAACTATGGTTTTAAAGTGTAGGAAAAAAAACTAAAAAAATTGGAAAAAATCTGTTTTTTCCGTTTTTTTCCCAATTGGGGATTTTTTGGAAAAAATTGATTTTTTTTTTGAAAATAAGCACATATGAAAAAAGTAGCAATAAACAACTCAACATTAATTTAATTAAAAAAAAATATCCTTTATTACAAAAAATAAAACATTCAATTTAATTAAATTGATTTATTTACTTTTGGTTGGGTCTTTTTGCAAAGGAATGAATGATTTATAGAGTTAAATTACAAAATTATAATTTTATAAAACAAAGGGTCAAATAAAAGTTATGTTAATACAGCCCCGAATATGTTATTATCTATTTTGCGTTCATAATGACTTATTATAACACCGCTATCGGTGCTGTAATGAGATACTTTATCCCACCCAAAATTTTGATTTTATTTGTTGGCTATACTTTAAACAGCATAATATTTTGCATATTGGTTATACTATTTTTATGATTTTTCTTGTACTTCCGAGACTTTTCTGGCAATAAATTTTGTTTCGCAATAAATAAAATCCTTTTTTTCTTCTTTAAAATTAACAGCCGCTTATTGTAAATAAGTAAATTAAGGACGGCATTGCGAATCGATTTTGACATTAACTGTCAAACCAATGACTCTGATACTAACTATCTAAAGTAAAATCCGACAAATTAAATATAAGGTATAAAATCAATTTTTTTTATAGAATTTTTGCAAAATAGATAAAATAGCATAAGGAACTCATGTCATAAGACCTTTTGTCACCTCGTGTGACAAAATGACGTCTTATGACATTAGTTCTATAATATACTATTATGCAGCCCAGTAGAATAATTTTACCGAATTAAAATAAAAGAATAATTATTATAATTAGGTATAATATTATGATTACAATCAGCATCAGAAATTTACTTTTTTCTCGATATCAGTGTACGGATATTATCCGTAAAAATTTGTAAATTTTCAGAAAAATTTTCTTTTGCATTTTTTCGTATTACATTTTTAATACTTTAGTAAATTTTTCTGACAATTTTTTAATTTTTCCATTTTTTTCAGGAATAAAACGTTTTTTTTTGCTAAATTTTTACGGAAATTTATCCAAATTTTTATCACTATATTTTGATTGAATAATAATAAAGTTCTAACGATTTTTGGTTTTGGTTTTTGTTTAAATTATTTGAGAACCGCCGATTTTTTTTCCAATTTTCAAATTTCATTTTAATAAACTTGTAATTAAGCAACTTTTCTCTAATTAAACCGACCTTGTAGCTCTTCAAATAAAAACATACCCAAACATAGAAGGATACCTGGTGCACCCTGTATATCTCTTCTTCATATTGTGCTATCTATAGGTACCATATAATATGGTAAATATTAAAAACTTTTTGTAAATTTTTATTTTTTAAGTTTAAAATATATGAATAAACCTGTATTAACTCGTTTACAACCACCCAACAGCTTCTCTTTTGTTAATGATCAAAAAATTAAGGAAAGTTTCATACGGTTTCATATTTTATTGTATGATACCGATATACAAGAAGCAAATTTAAATATGTAGGTATATATCCGAACAAATCAAAAATTCAATTTTGCACAAACTGTTTAGTTTTGGAGGGTTTCTTTCTAAGTTTTTTAAATTTTTAGAGTTAAACTGTTGCCAGGATTTTTTGTCTGGGTTTCAATTAATTAATTTTATATTTTTTGGTAAATGAAATTCAATGATCAGAATTTGATTGGTCCTATATATATATGTGTTAGTTAAATTGCCTCTGGCTTTAAAGGACCTTTAATAAAGGTCAGACCCATTCAATTTCGCGGTTTAGAGTTTTCAATATTTGTAATGAGATTCGAATTCTTATACAAGATTTTTGCATTTTCTCAATTAATTTTTTCCTTTACTCCCAGGAGTGTTAATTCTCTTTTTAAAAGGTCGTATTTTAGTTATCCAAAGGTAAATATATATTCTTTTATCTAGTATGCTTTAAAAAAACACAAACATAAAAATCTAACAATCAAACATATGTTGACAACGAAAATCACTTAACTAAGTTCTTAACATTGTTAAGCTTTATGCTTTCAATGTTTTCATGTACTTTGTAAATATTTTTGCTTCTTAGTCGTTATTTACTTTTATTTGTTGGAGGAATAATAAAAAAATAAATTATCTTTGTTTAAAAACCTTCTTACTAAGAAATTATACTTTGCTAAAAAAATAGAACAATAATTGTTATAGAAATGATTATTTCTCTTATTATAATATGAACCAATCAAAAGCCTTGAATTTTCGAATAAATTTCGTTTAAATAAGCGATTAAATCACTAGAACTATTTAACAGCGATTAAATTTTAGCCTCCATATTGGATTTTTGTTTACGATTTTATGGTGTTATTTACAAGTTTTAACAAACATTTTTTAAAAAACAATAAAAAATAAGTTTTCTAGTTTACGAAATATCAATTATTACTTATTACATACCTTAAATTAATGGAATTTTCTTTAAAAAAAATATTTATAAATTTTGACACATACGTCAGATTTTATGAATTGCCAAATAGTTTCCTTTAATTCGAGAAATAATCTATAGTAAATTTAAAAGTAAACTACGTACACGTCATCAATCAGCTGATCGGGCACGGTTGTCAATGTGATGCTAAAATCCTTGCATCAGAGGAAAGTGGTAGTGCAACTACAGGGCGATAGATGGCGTTTACATGAATAATACTAAAATGTCAAGTTTAGTCTGAGTTTTTATAACCTATATGATGCACCGCCAAAAGTATGTTTTTAGCCATTTTTAAAGACATTTTCTGATATAAAACCCAAAAATTTTGCCATCTAAAGTCAGTCTTTGGTATATATATTATTATTTTATGTATCCAACATATATTTTGTTAAATATTCTTATATATAATTAATAATAATCCTATTTACCTCTCTAACAGCTGTTAAAGGTAACAAAGGTCCATTATTATCCCGTTCTGCCTCAAAATAGCGTATTAAGGATGACACAAACTCTTGACTCCGACTATTTAAATGCTTCGGCATTTTAAATATAGGAAACACAATAAAACGATATATAACAAACACAAAAACGGCAATGAAAACTTAAACGATATAAAATAACACAAACAACAAACAAAATAAACGAAATAATACACGAATTAGACGAAATATTCAAAAACACAACTGACAGCTTTGAAATTCTAAAACGTCAAATTCTTTTTTATGTGTCATTTAAATATGAAAAATTTGAATGTAAACATGACAACATCGCAATTGTTGCCAACATAATTTGGTTAAAATGCATTCAAATATTCAATTACAGACTTCGATTTAGTCATTTAGTGTTGGTACCAGTGCGCAAATTTATGACGTCATCGATGACGTGTACGTAGTTTACTTTTAAATTTACTATAGACGTATATCACTCAACCTATAAATTTAATCTGTCAAACTATGCTCAGAAAGGTTTTTTATTTGATTTTTCTTTTTGGAAAATAGTTTCATGCAAAATAATTAAAAATAAAACCCCTCGACCGCTACGCGGTCTCGTGATTTTATTAAATTATTTTGCATTCAACATTTTCCAAGAAAAACCAAACAAAAAACTGCTGAGCCTTGTTTAACCGATTAAATTCATAGTTCTCGTGATATAATATATGATTATTTCCCTCATTATAATATGAACCAATCAAAAGCCTTGAATTTTCGAATAAATTTCGTTTAAATAAGCGATTAAATCACTGGAACTATTTAACAGCGATTAAATTTTAGCCTCCATATTGGATTTTTGTTAACGATTTTATGGTGTTATTTACAAGTTTTAACAAACATTTTTTAAAAAACAATAAAAAACAAGTTATCTAGTTTACGAAATATCAATTATTATAGTATACTTATTACTAGGGATGGGATTTTAGTTATTTTACCTTTTTTTAACCGATGTAACTATTTGAAAACCAATAATGCCAAAATGTGTTTTAAAAGATTTTCTTTTATATGAACCTAACTTGTTTTCACCTTTTTTACCTTTTTTGGAGGTTTTTGCTTTTAACTACCTTTTTTATACTTTTGTTACCTATTTTTTTTTTTAACTTTTTTTCACCTTTTTTACCTTTTTTGGAGGTTTTTGCTTTAAACTACCTTTTTATACTTTTGTTACATATTTTTTAATTTGTCAGGTTATTTTCACATATTTGTTACCTATTTTTACTTATTTTATTTTTTTTGTTCTTTTTAAAATTTGCGCCAATATTTTATCCAGGGCGTGCAACTCAACGGTATAGAATTTTTTCTTATGGTTACAGACTGTAACAGTAACTTTCTTTACAGTTACCTTCTTTGTAGTTACTCACTACTAGTGAGCTTATGTTCTGTCATTAAACTTCTGTGTAGTGAGTGTCACTCAGTAAAACACAGTTTATTGCATAGAAATAGTTTATTGTGGGTATGTTCTGTGTTTGGGTATGCGGCTAAACAAAATAATAAACGAAATTAAACTTTTAATGATTTTTTTTACCTAAAATGCTGTTTTTTTAACCTAAAATGCTTTTTTTAGTACCTTTTTAGTTACCTATTTTTCAGTTTTTAGTACCTAAATATCCCATCCCTACTTATTACATACCTTAAATTAATGGAATTATTATAGTATACTTATTACATACCTTAAATTAATGGAATTTAAAAAAAAAAAATATTTATAAATTTTGACACATACGTCAGATTTTATGAATGGTCAAATAGTTTCCTTTAATTCAAAAAATAATCTAGATTTATATCACTCAACCTAGCTAGCTAAATTTAATCTGTCAAACTATGCTCAGTAAGTTTTTTATTTGATTTTTCTTTTTGGAAAATAGTTTCATGCAAAATAATTAAAAATAAAACCCCTCGACCGCTACGCGGTCTTGTGATTTTATTAAATAATTTTGCATTCAACATTTTCCAACAAAAACCAAACAATAAACTACTTAGTCTTGTTTAACCGATTAAATTCATAGTTCTCGTGATATAATATATGATTAATATTATTTAAAATAATAAAGTTTTTGGACCACTGAGGTTTGGGACTCTCAGTATATTATATTAAATTTATTTTTTCTGCTTTATATTTTATTGTTTTGCAATACATTTATTAAATAAGGTTAGAAAAAAAGAGGTTAAACCCGTTTGACAAATTAAAAATTTGGATGAACTTTTTTAATAAAAGATACTTAATATTTGTATAGTTTTAAATGTCAAATGTCAATGTCAAATTACACAAGAAAAAACTTTTAAAATATACAGGGTAAGCATAGTTAAACGATTCCTTAATGTAACTATCTATTTATTGGACAAAAGATTTATAAAAGAAAAAGTTTTAAGATAATGAAATTTTACTAAAAAGCTTAAAACATACTTGATTTAGTATTGGCAGTATTGCTTACGACGCCATCTAGCTTGGGAACAGCCCCCTTCAACAATCTTTTTCTCAAAGGATTGGTGAAATATTTATCCTCGAAGTGTTTGTCACAGATTACTTTGTTTCTTAGCTGAGATTCCGTTAGGTCGTTAAAGTGAGGTTTTTCGGCCATTTCAATCCATTTTTTACATACTTCCTTGTTTTGGACAGGATAATGGAAAAAGTGTAGGTCATCAATGTTATTGCTTCGGTTGATGCAATTTTTATATGAACAACGGCGGCCACCACCCATCGCTAAAAACAAATCAAAATTAGCATTTTATCGATTTTTCACAATTTAAGACAACTTTCTGTCCTAGCTATTTTATGTGAAAAATTTTGTTTTAAAATCGTGTCGTGTTGAATAGGAGTGTTAATAATTTTAGTTAAAGTTAAAAACTTGTAGGGTAAACCACATAAACCACACACTTAAGGAATAATATTTATTTGAAATTTATATATATCGTTGTTTTAAAGATTTTAGTTTTTTTCTTATAAATATATAAAAAGGATAGTTTGTTTGTTTAAACTTTATTTAAGTTTACTTAAAAATAGGAAATCTTGAATTTTTAATAATAGTTTTATAAAAACAAAAAGTATAGTTGTTGGTCATTTTATATAGTAATTAGACACATGGACCATAGTTATTGGACATTTAATTTTTATGTAAACATAACAACTTTACATTATTTTTTTTAAGATAAATTCCTGTTATATATATTCATATATTTCTTTCTCGGATTCCTCATCCCTTTTCTGGATTCTAAAGGTAACTACTAATTCCTTGGTGTGACTTCTGAAATAGTTTGTTGCAAATATCTCTAGTTTGTGAAGCATTTATAATGTTTAGGCCGGAACAGGATGATTTATATATATCTAATATTTTTTTCGGGTGGTATGTAAAAAGTATTTTCCGAATAATTATGTTGCCATTAGTTTTTTATCTTCTCTATCATGCACTGTATTTAAATCACTGCTATTCTGCAAGATGTCCTGTGACGAAGAAATCACTATATTACTTACTTTCTAAAAACGAATTAGTCAAAAATGTCATAGCGAAAAAGAAGCCGCTAATAATTCTCGTCAACAGCAATTTGGATCCAGGACATTTGGCAGTCAATTCCTATGAAATATAATTTGCTGAATCCGAAAACGTCGTCAAAAGTTAGAAAAGTAGGATAGTTTATGAAATATAATCAATTTTATATATAATATGGAATTGACTATATCTTAAAAACTGCTTAACTTTTATAGTTTTTCAGATTCAGGGGACAATTTCACATAAGAATTGGCTGGTAAATGTCCGGGATACAAATAGAGTATGATATTGGACATATGTCCAATAATGGAAATTTACATTTTTTACCAACCAGTAATTGGACACTGGCCATTTTACTGTTTGTTTTCAGAATTACATTTAAAACGCAATAACTGTCTACTTTACCCTATGTTCTTTAAACTAACACACTCTCAATGTTTGTAGAAGCTCAACAGGTCATTTTGGTACGCTTAGTAGTTTTCCAGTGTTCCTATATCATCAGAATTTCACAAGCAGATTTTTTATCAAAAAATCGAATAAACTATGGTCAAATGTTGCTTTTTTTAGATAGAGGGTGTCAAGTATTTTTATAGGATTTTCCTTAATATCTCCCTCAATATAAAGGTATTTATATCTAAAGGAAATACAAAATTTAAAATATTATTATTAGATTCTTTGGTATTTTGTTTTCCTTTAAAGATATTTAGAAAACTAAGTCAAATTTGCTAGTAAAACTTATTAAATTAAGTCTACCCAGTAAAATAAAATAAAATGCCTATGATAAAAACAAACATTGAAAAAATAAATTATTATTATAAATCATGTTATTTCATAAGAAATGTTTTTTTACGAGTTTAGTAGCTAACTGTTAAAGTGAGTCTTTGTGCCCCAAAGTTTGATACATGCATAAACAAAAAGATATATAAAACATGCAATAATAATCACATTTTTTAATAGGTCTAAATAATACATTTTTACTTCCTATAGGCTATAAAAAACCTAACCCGATTGGTCTTGATAATTTTTAAGTGCATAAATCACTTTAGTCACGAGTGTTGACAACAATAACGTTTAAACTATAGACCGATTGAAAATAACAAAATACTGATTTTATAAAATTATAGACCAAGTAATATTAACCAGTAGCGTGCAAGAAAAAGTTATATCTCGACAAAGAAGATAAAAAAAATAAATTGATAATCTAGTTTATATCCTTAAAATTTCATTTAGCTACAGGATGTATATTAAGGTACATTTACTACTACTACTACCACCTACCTATGGGTAGGTACACGGCGTTCTCTAATATATAGATAGAGAACGCCGTGGTAGGTATGATAATGTATAATTTATAAAATTATACCATTGTTTTGTATTACTTTTAAACAAGTTACCGAATAATAGATTAAAGTAATTGTCGTGCTGTAAGCATACCATAAATAAATTCAATTAAAAATTACGCTTTCTGTAGTTCTGTGCCAGTTTCTTAGTTATAAAAAAAACTAACTGTCAGAAGCTTTAAAAAAACTAACAGTCTTTTAATGTATTTTTGCTGAGTTTAAAAAAATAATTAAAATTTTTTTACCGTCCAATTGTTTATAAATAACCGTTTAAAGTTCAACAATTTGTAAAAAAGTATACATCACTAGTGTCAGATAAAAACAACTTGGCAACGCTGTACGCAAGTATATATATTATTTCCGCAGTAAATTCAAACAGACTGATTCAGTGTCCAATATATCTATTAGTTCAGCATAAGCGACGTTGCCGGATTAAAACTTATGAAAATATTTGAAAGTAGTAACGTCTACAGTCTTGCGAAAAAATTATGAATCACTTAGCTACAAGCTCGTATACTTTTACGGTGCGTATAATCTAAAAATTTTTGACAATATTGTACCAGGACAACTACCTTAAATTCACATTTTAGTTCCATATTTGCAGTGGCGTAGCTATATAAAGGGTATCAATGGTGTCACCCCAAGAATGAATTTTTTTATATACCTATTTAATAATTGTTTTATTTATTTATTTTATTTATTTAGTAGTAAATACAGAGAAAATCCAAGTAGTACAAATTTCTTTATAACAAAAAAAGGGAAGGAAAAAAATATATAATATAATACATAAACATATAACTATTATTAATAAGGTAGGTACTTTTTAAAAGAAAAAGAAAACAAGCTTACATTAAAAATATCGATATTGCGGGTATTCAGATTACGTGCCAATCTAGGCACACAACTGAATTGCCTGTAATTAGTTCTACACAATGGAATATGTATTAATGCACTATTGCGAGTATTGACGGTAGTTACACGTAAAGAAAAAAGTTTCAATATATCAGAACAGTAAATCAAATTATTAAATATCTTAAACATACAAATTTGATCAAACTTTATACGCCGTATTTTTAGTGATTTTATTCCTAGCAAGGATAACTTATGATTATAACTAATATCATTAAAAATTTTAAATTTAAATAACAAAAATTTCACAATTTTTATCTGAGGTTTTTCTAATAAGTTAATATAACACTGTTGTGAGGGTATAACTGATGCCTATTCTAAAATGCTACGAGAGAAAGAATTAAAAAGAATAAGAATAGCATGGATATCAATTAATAATTTTATCAATATGCTGAATAAAAGTTAACTTTGTATATATATATACACCTAAATCAGTCATAGTGGAGACTCTTTCCAGTTAATTATTATTATTAAAGAAATTATAATTCCAAGTACGAATACTTTTAGAAAAAAAATTATCTTACATTTACTTATATTTAACTTAAGAAAATTGCCATTAAACCAGTCAGCAATACGATTAAGATCTGATTGGAGCATTTGGTAATCCAAAAGTGAAGATACTTTTTTATACAACTTTAAATCATCTGCAAATAAGAGAAGTTCGCAAAATTCAACACATGTAGTAATGTCATTAATAAAAAGCAAAAATAAAGTAGGGCCCAAATGTGACCCTTGCGGTACTCCTCAAGTAACATCAATAAAATATGAAAGGTATCCTAAAGTAACTACAATTAGCCTTCTATTAAATTTATTATTATACATTTGGGGCAATTCACCCCATACCAACCATTTTTAAACCCGATTTAGCTACTTTTTTGTTATTTAAAAAAAAAAATTACTGAAATTTTGGGTAAAAAAATTCACAGAAAAGTTTTTAATGGGGTAGTATTATAATAATAGTACCTATAACAAAAAAACTGGGTCGGTTTGGCGTGAAATGCTTCATATGTATATTAGTTTCCATTTATGTAGATATACTATACCTACTACACATTGTATTTGATGAGTAAAAATGGCAGCCTACGTATCTACTTGAGCCTTATTTTTCCTAAATATATGATACACAGATATTCTATAAACTAGCACGTTAAAAAAGAAACAAGTTCCAAAAATATTGGCGATAATTTAATTTTAAGAAGGTTTTTTTACTCCCAAATCGGTGATACCAGGGGCTGGCCGCCCCCTTTAGGGGCATAGCTATAGCTATGCCACTGCAGTGACTGCATATTTGTATACAAATTTTGTAATCCAATTGCATACAATATTAATGAAGACAAGTTTCTGTATTTTGATCGGGATTTGTAACACATTTATTATTTTGAAAATGTAAACCATGTGGAATTACAACAGTTTTTTAAATGCTATTACCCGCTTAAGATGCCCCCAAAAACAAAACGCTTTGGTAAAATACCCAGTAGGTGAGCCACCACGCCCCGCCTGGTCAAGAAATATAGGTACCTTCATTTAAAAACTCTGCCAAATTATATTACGTGTTCTAAACAAAGAAGTTAGGGTTAACATGTTCTATTAAGCATGTTCATAAAAATTTGTTAACAAATGAAACCGATTGTGTGAAGTAAAACTATTGGTTATGGCCATTTTTAAATCTAGGATGTTTTGCAAAAAAATACCCATACCCACCAACTAAGTATTACCCAACAATTCTTTAAACATATTTTACGAAATGAAAACCAATATGCTTTAAACATACCTGATAAGTAAAGAGATTTTTTCACAAAAAACTGCAAAATTATAGGCAACGGTTATAATCTGTGAGCCATTCAATTGTCAAAACATTTGACAGTCGCTTATTTTGCAATGTTGCCACTTTTTACAAAGACAGTTAATAAATATATTAAATACCTATTAAAACTGTCACAGTTCAACTATACTACTATAAATTAATTATCTTATAGGTAGGTATATCAAACTACAATTGTTAGTTTTATTTAATTACCTATATGTTTATTAAAAAAGTACTAATATAAATATTTAGGTAAATTATTGAATTAATTAAAAACGATATATTAAACACATTCAATAAACAAAAGATAGATATAGATTTTTCGTTTTACTTTGCGAAAAATCTGACGGACTTAAAAACAAAGATAACACTACTGCCATCTACTTTTGGATGACGGTACTGGTAAATAGTTAAAAACTATTTTTTATATGCTTATTACTAATTAGCATATACAAGATTTAATTAGTAATTAGTACCTAAAAGCTTATTAGTTTAGATGTGCGTAATTAGGCACTGTGATTATAAAGAAATGCGTCTGATGTCTTTAATGTAAAGAAATTTGACCTGAATTCAACAAAAAGCTCTGTCGATGCTTTTTTATTCATTTAAAAGGGCTGCTAAATTGAGAATCTCTACGTGAAAAGAAAGCGTTTTTGTCCATTTCGATAATGGCACTTCGTATTTATAATCAATATAAGTTTGTTCACCATTTATTTAATTTAACAGAACGTAGATACATTTAAAACTTGTACAACTTTACACGGCAAGGAATTTTTTTTTAATATAAACATTATTTGACAGCTTGTTTTACTAAATTTTGTTTTTTATGTTGCAACATGTTGGTTGAATTCTTGAAGTATTCAATTTTAATGGTAGATGGCGCCAATGCCGTCTTTTATAAACCGCGCATGTTCAGTAATCAAACTCAAAATTATTATTGCTATTACTATAATAATAATAATAATATCATTATAAAATTAAACGTTGCATCAAAACTACTTCATATCAATCCCATTTAACTCGAGAAATTTAATATAACCGTGCAGAAGGTACAGAACGCTTAAGGCCTAAGTGAAACCAGATCCGCTAGCGGGTAGCTACATATTATGTATTCGTCGAATACTATTAAACTTACTGAACGTTAATATATGGATTCTCGAGTTTTAAATTAGGTTCCTCTTTCGTTAAGTTATCTAAATGCATTTATTTCGCTAATAAATTGAATGATTGTTATTTAAAAAAGTTATAATTCAATAAATATTTATTGATTGATTAAATTTATTATAATTATTTTTACTTTATTACACTATCTATGTTTATCCAATCAAAGTTATGATTTGTACTCATGTTTAATTCATTATAATTAATTTATTAATTCGTTATTAACATTTTAATGATCATACAGTTTACAGATTCTTAATTAAATGAGAAAATTCCTAGGATATTAATAACTAAACGTAAAGAATTTTAATTACATAACAATGGAGTGTACTGTGTTATTTTACATTGTAAACAAATCGAATTAAATGTATGAAACAAACATATACTTTTACATAATAGCAATATTTTTATAATTTTTTTGAATAATAGGTTGCAATGTTAACATTAACACCCTGTATGGTGAAATATTTACAAAAATCCAAACGTTTATAAAAGTTTTTTTCCAAAAATATTATTTTTAAAATCAGTTATATAAATTAGGTAATATTAAATTTACTGTATATATAATATATAACATATATTTAGAGCAATATTGCCAGCTGTAAAATATTTACGCTCTTCGTAAAAATTTGAAGAAACTATAGTCACTATAATATAGTAAGAACATAAACATCAATCGATGTCCAAAAAGTAACCATTACCTACCTACTCATTCCTTTCTGAATTTTGACTACTCACATGTTTCTCTAGAGGTCACTAACATCTTATATTTCAAGGTTGTTATATAATAAATAGTACTATAGTATACTGTAGCTACCTACTTAGCTACTGGTTTATTTAATTAAATGTCTTATATGCCTGAAAAAAGATCAGTGCAAATTTCCAAAATTTACTAAATTTTCAAAACTTTCCAAATTTTCCGACAACAAAAGTTTTGGAAATTTTGTAAAAAAAATTTAATTTTTTAAATATTTAAAAAATTTCAATAATTTGGAAAATTATATGATTTTAACTCTATTTCTGTACTGCACATATGGTTACTGTTTTCTTTTCTTCGTGTGCCTGACTGATTTTCTGGATCCCAAAAAATTACCAAAAAATACATGACGACCAAAATTATGCCAAAACTTTTTTTGGGACCTTTTTAAAATATGTGCAAACTCCCGATTATAAGAACTTGTTTTAAATCTTAAATGACCCATAAATGTGTTATTTACTTTTGTAGATAATAAATAAATCAAAAAACTGTGTTATCTATTAAGTTGACGGCGAATATCCTTGAAATAAAAAACTATTTTAATATGCTAATAACATAATAATTATAATTTTTACATAATGATTAAAATTACATTAAACCTAAAAGATTATCAAATTTTTTACTGTCTTCATTAATAATAATTTTAAATTATATTTTATTAATAAAGGGAGTGCTAAGTTAAATCATTTAATTGGTAGCTACTAAAACTGTATAATCAGATCAAGTTAAAAAGTTAAATACCGGAGCTTTAAACTTCAAATTAGCTTAAAACTTACCTACACCTTTTCTGAAAGATAATTTTATTCCGTAATTTTGCGTTAATGGAGATATATCCTTGGTAAGTTAAACTTACTAAGTTTTAATAATTTAAAAAATAACTGTATTTTGATTGAAACTAAAAAAAAGGTTTAAACCTTTCCTTTTATAAATCATATAGATGCTATAGCATCTTAATTTGTAATCGGCTTACAAATAAATAAAAATCAATTTCAACCCTGAAAATAAAACTGCTATAAGACCCAGACACAGTGTCCCTGAACGAAGTTTAGGTCACATAAAAATGGCCAAAAACTGATTGCAGTTTCTTGTTTGGGACCCTTTGGTGACTTAAAAATGATATTTACCAAAATCCTAGCTGATCCTCTTTTCGAAATTTTTTGAAAATTCATGATTTTTTTTTTTAAATTTTTGTCTACCTTTGACAGAGTACACATTTGTACACCGACTTTAATAATATTGGAGTATATTGTTAAGGAGATTTGAATACTGTTTATACTGTGCACATCATTTAATATATACAGGGTTAGCCAAAAATTGCTTCTTTTAATAAAGCAAAAGCGTAAATTCATGATTTTGGCATAACACGCAAAAAAGATATATACCCACCCATGTTTTTTTAGATATTTTTATGTTTATCAGGCTACAAAATGGGATTCTTATCAAGACTTTATAAGAAAAATTGATTTTGAATAAAATTAAATAAAATAATTTTTTTTGGAGATAAATCTGTTTTGTGCATTATGCTTTTTAATATATAAAAACGTGATTTTTGGCTAATCCTGTATAAATCTAATGATGTGCTCAGTATGAAAACAGTATTCTCCAAGTCTCGTTAACAATATACTCCAATATTATAAAAATTGGTGTACAAATGTGTACTCTGTCAAAGGTAAGATAAACAAAAAAAAATTAAGAATTTTCAAAAAAATTCGAAAAGAGGAGCAGCTAGGATTTTGTTAAATATCATTTTAAAGTTACCAAAGGGTCCCGAACAAGAAACTGCAATCAATAAAAATCGGTGTACAAATCTGTACTCTGGCAAAGGTAGACTTTGCGATAAACAAATAATTAAAAAAAATGATTTTTTAAGAAATTTAAAGAAAAGCAGTTAGAATTTTGGTAAATACCGTTTTTAAATCTCCAAAGAGTGCCGATCAAAAAACTTTAACCAGTTTTTCGTTCAAAATTGAAAACTTCTAAAAAGTCTAAACATTTTAAATATTCTCTAAGCGTTATTTTAATTAATTTTATTAAAAATGTATTTTTTTAATAAAAGGTTAATAAGAATGCCATTTTGTAACCTAATAAACATAGAAATATCTTTAAAAAAATGGGGATACATCTGTTTTGCTTGTTATGCCAAAATCATGAATTTCCGCTTTTGCTTTATTAAAATTAAGCGATTTTTGGTCCACCCTGTATATATCAAATGATGTGAACATTATTAAAAAGTATTCTTTAAGTCTCCTCAAAAATATACTCTAATTTTATAAAAATCGGTGTACAAATGTGTACTCTGTGAAAGGTAGACTTTGAAATAAACAAAAATTTAAAAAAAAATCATAAATTTTGAAAAAATTTCGAAAAAAGGATTAGCTAGGATTTTGGTAAATATCATTTTTAATTCACCAAAGGGTCCCGAACAAGAAACTGCAATCAGTTTTTGGCGTCATTTTTATGTGACTTAAACTTCGTTCAGGGACACTGTGCAGAGTCGTACGTAGCTAGGGGGCCGCGGCCGCGGGGGCCAGGGTCACATGTCTTAACTACGTTTTCGCGAAAGGATCGAACGGTCGATTTGCAAGGGTTCAAGAAATCGATTGAAACTTTTTACCTTATTTCTACATCTAAATGCAGTATCAAAAAAAAAAATCTCGTCCATTGATTTTATTTTTTATTTTTTCTTCACTGTACACAACAATGAAGAAATTTTATTTTTTTTAATAACTTACTAAGATCTTACTAATGACAATTAATCCATGAAAAATGTTGTTTAGATTTTAACATACAGGGGCGCTGGTGATAATTTAATTTAAAATTTAACAATTTTTAAAGTGTAAATAATTCAAGAAGCAACTTTGTTTTATACATTTGAGTAAAACACGTTAAAGTTTTGATATTTGACTATTATTTGATACATTAACTTTTTTATGCAAATGATGTTTCTGTGGCCAGGATCAGTTTTAAATTAGTAGTAGCAGTATTCATAAATGTTTAGTTTAGTACATTTTGTCACTAAATGTCACTAAATAACACATAAATGACGTTTAATATACAGGGTATACAGGGAATCGCGAAAGATTTAAAA